GCCGATGAGAGCTTAAAGATTGGGGGGCTTGTATATCGGAGCGCGACGAGGGGGGGCTCCACGATCGTAAAATAGCCCGGAGGACGAGCGAGCGGGTAGTGTTAAAGAGGCGCTCGGCGGAGGATCGTTTACCTAATAATAGCAATAATATGTAAATGCGATGCGTATCGAGCCGCCATCGAAAGAAGGGGCCGCGCGCTACGACGCCATTGTTTGCAAATCCTTGGTCGAGAGCGAGCGATCCGGCGAATAGGCTCCTCTCTGCTGCTCACGATTTTCTTTTGCACGTGAATCGAATCCTCGTTGGATTCGCATTGCGTGCGAGCGTAATCGCCACGCGCGGGATATAACGTCTGCGAATGCACGGTGCGTTAAAGAAATAACTAATTGAGGATAATGTCAAATACCAGATACTGTTCTATTGACCATACGCATTAAATAAAATATTTAAAAATACTGTATAGTTTGAGATGAGGTAGGTTTCGAAGATTAGCATGCACCCACACGCGGAAGAACAGTTTTACTAAAGGATGTAAAAACTTAAATAGTTACAGTTTGAGTGTCAATAGTTCAACAAAATTATTTTCAGATCTGTATAGCTAAATTTTTAAATACTTTAAATAAAACTGTTTTTCCCGTGTAATTTTCTTACATCTTCACCTTTCCAATTAATTAAATGTATTAACCTAATTAAATGTAAAATACATTTATGTAACACACAATATATTTGTAATTTAGTAAGAAAGAGAAATATTGGTAAGAATTCAAAGGTTAAAAACACTTAAGATATGCATTTTAGGCTAAAAGTTTGGAAACACTTTTGAAAAATTGAAATTTATGAAATTATTTATTCAAAAAGGTTTTGTGTGAATTTTAATAACAGTTGTAGGATATAAAGAATTATTGTTAAACAACACATTGTTATGGATATTTAAATAATGTTAAAAATGTAAATTTTTTAACAATATTAATTGAAAATTGATCGAGTCTCGAGAAATGTTCAACATGTTAAACAAAGATTATTGACATAAAAACGTTTAATATTGCATTGCTTGAACTGAAAATTGTAAAAGTCACAAAAATATGATTAGGCATCAAAACCTACTTTAATCGAATATGGCCTACTTCGTTTATTTGTGTCATCAATTTTTAACGAGTGTTTCCAACATTTGGCTTAAAATGTATTCTAAAATGACATGTGTTATTCTTTACTGCTTGATCCTATCAATATGTATAGTTGTAATACGTGGTTATCAGATATATTTATAGATTACACGTTAAAGACACGTTAAGATCGCGCTTTAAGATAGTACATTTTAAAGGGTTACAGAAGGTATATATATATATATGTATATATAAAATATATATAGCATGATAACTTGATTGGCTCTCGTCACGCTCGAGAATACGCGCGGTTTGAACGATCATTACGTATTCACGTTATAAGTGCGCGAACGAAATGTAATTCTGTAATACGGCGCGGGATGGAACTTTTCAAAGTTCGTCCTGAATGGATTAATGAACCGAGTGACACGGGATCTTTCCTCCCTCTCCCCCTCTCTTTCTCTCTTTGATTGGAGCAACACTTACGGAATCTGACCAGTCATCTTTACCTTCGTTTGTCGTCGTTCTGAACGAGCAACGAGCCGCGTCCTGACCTTTCTCTCTTCTTCCTCTTTTTCGATGTCAATTCTCTCATCGGTTCCCCCGATACGTTCAAATTCCCTCTATATCATCGAGTGAGGTTGCTTTTCGAGATCGTTAATGTATTCACGTTATCGCTGCTTAATACAAGTTACAAACTGTATACTTGTGTTTATCGATGTCATTACATTCTACGTAGCCGATAATTT